AAAATGGCTGCTCCCATTTCAAAAATTTTAAAACCACTCGATGAAATCGATAAGAACACCAGTTGATTAGTTTTTCGAGAGGATCAGTTTATCCGTTTCTTTACAATTAGCACACAAGTACAAAAATGTTCGTCAACATTTTAGCACATGTTTTTTTACCTAGTAGAACGCCGTTGGGTGTTGCTATTATCTTCTAGTTTATATTGTAAAAAAAATAAAATTGTAAGATATTTATAGTTAGCAGTTTCTGCTTATTGTTCATAAAAACACTTTGCAGAGTAAAATTCAATGAAAAAGAAAAACATTTTAGCCATAAAATCCTGAACCGATTTTAAAAATTATAATATTATTAATAAAAATGTTTGTCATATTTGTACAAAATTTAAGACCCTTCACAGCAACTTAATCTAGATTAATCATCATCATCATTAATCTAAATTAATCATAAATAAATTAATCTACATATAGATGTTAATACATCTTGCCTTAAGGCAAAAAGACTAACAAATAGTTTCCATGACAACAAATCATTAAAGAGCACACAACATTTATAAACTTTTATCAAAAAAAAACGCATAACCACATTATTGCATAGTAAAATGTGCTTATTATACGAGTCATTATTATTGGGTCAAGCTTTTATATTTTACTTTTTCAATATATAAATTCTTTTATATAGATGTAATTTTTCATTAAATACAAATAATACCATCCAAACGAACTTGCGAAAAATCTCTCTCCAAATACTCTCTACAAATACTATTAGAAGATTAAAGAGCTTAAACCCATTAGATTCAGTGTAGTTAATTTACAATTTAAATTTACAATTATTTTCTGTATATATTTTACAAACTTGAAATATTACCAATGGGTAGTATTTTAAAATATTATTTATAACTTTAATCAAAATAATTACTGAATGCCTTCTAGGCAGTTGAAATTTGATGAAAATAGAAAAAAGAATAATTAAATAAATGGGAAAATATGTATTACATGATAAAATAATTATAAACAGAACTACGTATCGCATTTAAACTGTTTTAAATCTTCTTTAGTAACATTTGTGTGCAACGTTAAAAAATTAGAATACAATAAGTATATTTATAAAACGAAGAATTGATATGAAACGAATTTGGTCTAATATAAGAATATTATCTTTTGTACATGCAAAAAGAGTGGCGATTTAGACAATGGTTACGGCTTTATTATCGTGTGCGTTTATTATATTACGATTACGATTACGATTGATTCGGTTACCGTCATTTCGCTAAATATGATTTTACACAGGTCAATCGGTGTTAAATCTCATACAAACAGTTTTATAATAATATCATACAAACAGTTCGTAGCAGTTCAAGCACGTACATCACGTTTGATGACCGCATACATAATATGTATGTAATGCTACAACAATACATATTACGATAGACATAACATAACGCTTTACATAATTGCGTGGACTTAATTTTTTTAACCTACATTTTCAGCAATGAGCTTTTACTTTTTGTTGTTTGCTTCTGGATAAATAGGTGGCGCACCCGAAACCACACGGAGAATTTTCAAATTGATTAATGCGAAAAAAAATTAGTTTTTATAATTTGATTATACGTTTACGTAGATACACTCTAGTTTATCAAACCTACAACAAGTAGGTGTTAGGGTCATATTACCTTAGGGCAAGTTGCATGAACTTTCCGATATGCATAAATATTCAATTTTGAAATGTGTGACAATATAAGTTTGAAATATACACCAAGTTTGATATCAAGCTATTCAGGATGACATGAAAAGTTAAGAAAACATTAGCAAATTGGATTTTCTGGACATAAACATATCGAAATCAAAAACTTCGTTAATTTTAAATCATAATAAATATATAATTTATTTTTTACGTTAGTTAAATAGAAATGCTATGTTGAAAAACAGTTTTAAATTTGCCATATCCGAGCAGAACATAGTACTATCATAATACGATATTTCATATTGAATTAATTATGTAAAATAATTGGAAATTCCGCAAACGATTAATTTTTTTTGTGTTTGTTGAACTCAATGTCAGTGGCGAGAAACTGCAAACACAAACACGGATTTCGGAGTAAACCTCAATGCGTGCGGTCAAAAAAATATCCATAAGCCACAATTCCACAATTTAAGATGCTGGCTGATAGGCATCACTACATGTCAATATTATCTTTGTTCTTGCATGCCTGATGTTATTTACAATCGCATAAATAATTCGAAACAAATTTTTTTTTGAAAAAATAGTGAAATTGTGTAACCACAGAACACGTGCACGCACTCAAAAACATTTATTTAACACATATCCAACGAGTTTATTTTTATATGCGGACGCTGGAGAACGCATTTGGCCGGACGATATATGTACTCAGAAATCAGCGAAATGTGAACGATTCAAAATTTCTCAAATATAAAATTTACAAAGTCAGATGCACAATGTTCAAGCACAAATGACATTTATGTTTTTTATAGACATTCAATGAATATGTACAGAAAACGTGAGAAATTACCGATTTCTAATAAATAATGAATATAAAAATAAACGAAAATATGAATACACAGAGCTGTCAGATTATTTTTGTAATAGTAATATACATATATAACATATTATTATAGTTCAAGAACTGACGTGCGTATTATGCTAGAAATTGTGTTAAACATGATCATATTTATATATCTATTATTGTAATATATAATTATAATATAATAATTATAATTACGAATATTAATTTATGTAAATGTACTGCGTAAAACACACAGTACTCTATTTTTGTACAAACTATTTCATAGTACCTACTAAATTACAATCGTTTTGAAACCGCAATTCGTCTCATCATTAGTATAAAATTAAGAAAAATATACTAATACATTATAATATTATAATTAGTAAATAATTTATATAATGTGTTTACATATTTTTATTAATTTTTACACTGACGATGAGGCAAGTCACATCTTGAAACTTTTGTGATTTCGTACTTTATGAAATGAAGTTAATACAAAAATAGTGTCGTGTATTCAAATTTACATAATAAATAAATAAAAAGATATATGTATATATATACATATATTATATATATATATATATATATATATATATATATATATATAACAAAAGTATTTTGAGTGGTTAGATATTAATTTAGAAATATGAATAAACAGCACTCTTTTTTGCACTAATTTATTAAATAATTTCAATTTTACAAACGTTTCGTAGGTTTGTTTAATCATCGTCATACACTGATAATGAGACAAACCTAGTTTCAAAACATTTGTAAAATTAACATTATTTAATAAATTAGTGCAAAAAGTGTTATTTGTTCATGTTTCTAAATTAATATATATATATATATATATATATATATATATATATATATATATGTGTGTGTGTGTGTGTTTTTGACATTGAAATATATTTGATATAATTAGCAGCCAATACGCCGACTTAAAAATAGTAAAATAATTTTCAAATCTTTATTCGTACGTTTCGATACTCAATGTGTCATCTATAATAAGAACAATATTATTTTCAATAAAAATGAAAAGTGTTATTAACAATAAACATAGAAACATAACTACTATTTTAAAATAAAAACTAACCCAGGTAACATCCTTAACACGTTGATCGCCACGATAACATCAGACAAATTTTGACATGGACCCTGATAACTTTATTAGATAATTTAGTTAGAAATGTATGAATTTTTTTTCACAAAATTCGTGAAAAACAATATTTTTATGACACATAAAACATTTCACTTGCAGAACTTTTTAGTGTCAGGCACATACGACTGACATAGCAATTAATGTGTTAATTTGACAAAACATTAATCCATCATTATCTATTCCTTTTTTAAAAATTCGACAGATTAATTACTAATTATGTATATATCAAATATATACACAGTTGTGGTTTAAATTGAAACTAGTGGGGTGGGTGGCATCGTGCCTTAAGGCAAATTGCTGGAACTTCCCGTACCGTAACGAAACGTTCGAGGAATATTGAATGTTTTCAAATAGATTGTTATAAATATTGTATTATTGTCTAATATTTATAAGAATTATATAAACTGAATTGCAGAGTTGAAATTATTTGTTTAAAGTATATTAGAACTATAGTCAGAATTAAAAATAAAATCTGAATTATTTTCGATATACAAAAAATTAAAAAAAAAAAAAAAAAAAAAAAAAAAAAAAAAAATGGTACAAAATTTTTTTTTCCAAAATCAATTATTTTGTTAAGACAAGCAGAAAGTTCTTTGAATCAATTGAATCGGACGCTTAGTTCTCTCAAAAACTGCCATTTTTTGTACATTTAGCTCTGTATCTCCGAAATGGCTGGGCCTGCCTTTGCGAAAAACTAATAACCCTTTCTCCCAATCATTACTAATGGAATGTTTTTTAGATAATTCAAATCGGATGCTCCGTTCTCTCAAAAACTCGATTTCTATTTTCTGCACTCTTTGCTCCTTATCTCCGTAACTGCTGGACCTGTCTTTGCCAAAAACTAATCAGCTCTTCTCCTTATTAATAGGAATCGAATGTTTTTTAAACCATTCAAATCGGTTGATCCGTACGCCCGAAAACGTGGACGAAAATTTGTATCCATACATACATACACACACACACACACACACACACACACACACACATCCATTTTTTCTGAGGTATGCCAAAACGTTCAGAAACCTTCAAAACGTCGAGAAATGTAAAAATTTTCAATTCCGATTTTCGGCCCATTACAATAACTTACCCTACGGGAAGTTAATAATAGTAAATTACACAAGAAATTGATACGAAAGGTGTGACATACTACAATAACGTGATTGTCATCAATTTTAAAATTACTGATTACATCCCAATTCAATTTAGAATGAATTTTTCATTAAAAAGTCCTTCATAATTAAAACATAATTGATTGTTGTTATAAATCCATATAAAAACTAATTGGTAATGTTAATCCATCAAATAATAAGTCTCACCTTAGCACAAAAGCACTGAACATAACTGTAACAACAATATCACATAAGCACTTTTTAATTTAATTAGTACAACGTCAATCAGATACAGTATGAATGGATGAACGGACGTAGGATTCCTGGTGTGGCACAGATAAATAATAAATAAACTTGTTTACTAATCGATTCGGATTAGTGATCGTGATCGTGATCGCGATCGCGATCGGCAAATATAAATGTGAATAAAGAACGCGGAATCTGTCACTTTCGTTATGGGAAGCGTTTGCGTTCGCGTTCGCGTTCGCCTACGCCTACCTTGGCCGAGTTTAGCGCTGTCTCTGGCGCGGCGCGCTTGACAGCCGCTTATATATCGTCTCTGGATCGGCGCGGCCACACTCGCACTCGCACTCGCACGGTCGCACGACGTACGAGGACCGAGGACCGAGGATCGAGAGAAGAGCGGCATCAATGTGCTCTCGAATGCGTATTGCGTATGAGTTAAGAGTTACATGCAATTATGTGATGTACTCGTACTCGTACTCGATGCAAACACCAAAGAGTCTTTAGTCTTCACTCGAGAGATACCATCGCAATTAGTTTATTGAAATTTAGTTCACTCATTATCAAATATTAAATAGCATTTTGCACCAATTATGATCTTTTAGTCGCGATGATCGAGAGACACCATTACAATTTGTTTACCGAAATTCAACTCACATATTAGATAGCATTTCTCATCGATCGCAATATAATTATTTTATTAGTAAAGATATATAAAATCACTTCCTTTTCTACATGATATGAATATGTAGTCAATCGGAAGTTAATAAAGTATATAATTAATACCATAAGTTTATCTATCAGAAGGCATTGGAGGACTTTCAATTTAGTTTATAAATAACAAGGTAAAGCGGAGCTTAATGGTAAAAACGTCCACTACCATTACCTCAAAAAGAAGTATGGTATTGTTTAACGATACTATTTTGAAATAGTAGGCAAAACATGTATAATCAGCTATAGCCTTATTATACATAACAAAAGTATTGTTTTTTCATTGATAGTTTTTAACTTCCCGTAGGGTAAGTTATTGTAATGGGTCGAAAATCGAAATTGAAAATTTTTACATTTCTCGACGTTTTGAAGGTTTCTGAATATTTTGGCACACTTCAGAAAAAAAGGATGCGTGTGTGTGTGTGTGAGTGTGTATGTATGTATGAATACAATTTTTCGTCCACGTTTTCCGACGCACGGATCAACCGATTTGAATGGTTCAAAAAACATGCGATTCCTATCGATAGGGAAAAGAGCTGATTAGTTTTTGGCAAAAGCAGGTCCAGCCGTCTAGGAGATACGGAGCAAAAAGTGCAGAAAATAAAAATCGAGTCTAGCGGTTTCGGAGATACAGAGCTAAATGTGCAAAAAATGGCAGTTTTTGAGAGAACTAAGCGTCCGATTTGAATGATTCTAAAAACTTTCTGCTTATTTTAACAAAATAATTGATTTTGGAAAAAAAATTTGCTTCTAAAAATTTTTTTTAAATTTTTTTTTCAATTTTTTTTTTGTATATCGAAAACATTTCAGATTTTTATTTTAATTCTGTTCTAATATACTTTAACAAATAATTTTAACTTTGCAATTCAGTTTATATATAATTCTTATAAATATTAGACAATGTTACAATATTTATAATAATCTATTTTGAAACATTAAATATTCCTCGATTCCAGCAATTTGCCTTAAGGCACGATGCCATACACTCACTAGTTTTGGTTTTAATCTCTTTTATTCAGTTTGTGATACGTGGATATATTTTTGAGTATAAGTTTGAATATAACCTTACATGTAGTTGGAATAAAAAAAAGACCAACTAAACTTATATGGTACACTGACGAAGGTGTAAACAATAAGAATATAGTGAACAAAAAAGTGAATTGAGTTAGAAAAGCAATTTTAGAAGAAATAAATTAAATAGATAATTATTCCAACTCTGATGATAAATGAAACAGATCAAGTTTGAATACAGTGTGATTTTATATATACAATGTGATAAAAAACGTACCCAATTAAGTTTGCATTCCTCATCGAAATAATTTTGTAAAATCCTATTAAAATTAAAAATAAGCAATTGGAACTATTTGCCCCCTGTCCCTTTTTACTCCGCCTATAGGGTAAAAAAGCACAGATGACAAATTTTAGAAAAACAGTAAAAAACATATCTCTGTAATTAGGAATTAACTGAAAATTTTACTGAATATAGTTCGATAGTTGTTTGTTTGTTCGCTACTTGCTATGTGTTGTGATGTAGATAACTTGGTTTAGACAATAGAATTACTGAAAGTCAAATTGGAACATTGTGCCCATCCCTATACCCTTTATAAAAATGATAGAATTATTAATTTGCTCATCATTTCAAAATTACTTGCTTGTTTTTTATTTAAGTAACATACATTAAAATTATATACGTATACCTATTTTATATGTTTTTAAATATCACTTCCATGATTCAGCGATTCAATATTAGAAATTACAACTGTGTACAAAAACTGGATCAAATTATTTATATCATTTATATTATTCGTTTAAATCATTTATAAGTTACCATATAAATTTCATATAATATATTTGGAGAAATTCTCACAATCAGTGAATCCCAATGCATTCAATTACCACGAAAATATGGTGGTTATCTTAAATGTAAATGTGAAGTTATCATTCTAAATAACTGTTTATTTATTTTGTTACATTATTTACGTAGATGAAATCGATAATGAAATCAGTATATTATAAATTATTATATGATGTTATCTCTTTTATTTCAAAATTGCACAATTCATCCAGTTCGTATATTGAATTACTGCAAGTTAGTATTCGAAAAGTAAATACGAATACTATACTTGGCATCAATCATTAAGTAATAAGATTTTAAATAATAAATACATATTTATTTTGCGTAGAGTAGCATTACGATATCTAATTATCTCAACATAAAAAATAACGAACCTAACGAATTTAACAAAAACTTATCAAACAGTTTAAATCGAATTTTCAAATCAAATAGAAACTTTAAATAATATTCAAAGCCTTGGGTCCTCTGCATATAATTACAAGATTGTTGTTGTTTTTATTTCAAGAATAATACGCACACAGAAATTAATTTAATTAACGTAATTTGAATAAATAAATAAAAAAGGTAAAAGTTATTTGGAAATGGTAAGCAAATCATAATTATATCGTTTTTTTTCAATTTATATTGTTCACCTTGATCGATAGTCTTCGATCGCCTTCAATAGTAAATTAACATTTGTGAATCGAATATATAGAATAACGATTGTGAATAAACACAATAATTAACACTAATTAATAGTATATGTGTGTGAAAGCAAATTTATTTTTCTTATGATGATTGAAATTAGTTAGAAGAGTTTGTTACCAGAGTTTATGTTCATATTTGACTAACGTACTAAATAGATTTTAGTTACAAAATTAGTCCTGTTTCATTTATATAGCTACAAATCCCTACAGACAATTGCATATGACTTAGTTAGTTAATAAGTAAATATTAATATGTTAAGTTAGTAAGTGATTCAAAAGAATTTCTTCGGCGATCTCTGGTTCGGTAAAGCTAATATTAAAATGAAACTTTTTCAACTTCACAATATACATATGTATGTAATATTTTTAAAACCCAATCGTCGAATTAAAAAAAAGATTAAATAACAAAATTATTTATTCCATTAAACGTTCCGACACTTGATGTGTGTCATCATTCAGTAATCTAAAAAACTTATTACATAAATACTAAGTTGGTAATAAATATAAATATATAAAAAGGAGAAAATTGTACATACCAAACGAGGAAAAACAACAGAAAAAATTAATGATGATGTAAAATTGATTGAACACTAAATTTGTGTAAAATAATAATATACTATTATATTAACAACGAGAAATTGAAGGAGCACATATTGCCCTCCTATATTGTTTTGGAGCATTATGGACACTGATCAAGGTTAATATATATATATATATATATATATATATATATATATATGTATATATATATTTAATCTTTTATAATTTTATCTTTTATAATATTTAATCTTTTATAATTTATCTTTTTTTAATTCGACGGTTGGGCTGCAAAAATATTACAAATATGTATCAACGTCGACAAAACTATCATCATATATATATATATATATATATATATATATATATATATATAATATTCATGTTAATTTGTTGAAGCAGTTCTCAAAAAGAAAAAAGCTATTGTAATCCGGGGAGTGTGAGTTCATAGAAATGAATGGGCAAAAATTTTGTACAGAGAACTCAATGGAGTTCGGCGAACGGCATGCGAACGACGAGTGCAAATTTTCCATCCAATCAGTCGCAGAAACAACTAAAGTTTATAGAATATTTTTCAATTAGTAAAATACCGAGTCGCAGATTTAATTTTTACAGCTGCCAGTAAACGCAAAAAGGTCGTGGTTTCGCGGCAAGAACGTGGTCTAGTAACCACAGGTTCGAGGTTCGATACCCATATCGACCATCTTGATATCAACAAGGAGTAGTAATAGAACAGATTTTCGCATGAGCGAGTTAAAATATGATAGCAAGTGAAAACAGCTTTTCAAGGGCATTGTTGAATCATATATCCAATTAGTAATAGACAAAAAATTATATAAGAAATCTCATCAGATAGAAAATGGTCAACCTCGTGGTTGCAATCTAATAAACAATAGGTTTAAGGAATCACATTACAACAGCCCATAGTATATACAAAATTCTGATTGCTAAAAAAGTTTATTGAAAAATAGTACTAAATAACAAAGCTTCGATAAAACAGGTCCAAGTGTTAGTGAGACTGATCTCTTTCTTTCAACAATTTTTTTAAAAGCGATAAAACCGTTTGCAACTTTTAAGTTATAAATATCTATATTCATATATATTATTTCAGATCGCAGTCATAAAATATAAATTGCCTTTTTTATAGATTTGTTATTTTAACCTACAGAATTCGAATCGAGGATAGAATTTAAAATATACCATCCACTGGTGCCACTGCTCAAGATTCGAAACGTTAATGTAAACATTAAATTGACAAAAGAAAATCAATAGCATCTCAAATGAGATTAAACTCTAAAAAACAACATTATTATATTTTCAAATATTTGCTTCCAGACACAAAGAATGACTGGCACGTCAGTCTTTCCTAAACAATTAGTCCAAAATCTTTTGCTTTTATCATTCCGAAAAGGATTTTAAAAATACGTTCACCAGAATTCAGTTTGGTATAGAAATTAAATTTCATATCATTTATGGAATAAAACGATAAAAAAATATAAACATTGACAAAAGTAGACATTTTTACACATTTTTGTGAGCGTTAGTTTTTTTTGACTGTTCGCGATGGACTTCAAAGTTTGATGTCAAATAGCATGAAGTTGATTTTTGATAAAAGTGAGTCACATTGGAAAATAATCAAAGTCAGATGAAAGTTTATATTTCTAGAGGATACCGAAATTTTAGCATGTGAATAAATAAAATAATCTAAATATCAAGATGTAAAAGCAACAATCATTTAGAGTAATCATTTTTACCTTCATATAATTATTTTATTCATAAGCGAATAACTTTTATATGAATTTTATCTAATTTATGATTATATTGTATTTCTGTGAGCATATATCTTTAAAAAAATCAATAAAAATCAATCGCCAAGGCAAAACATTTCTGAACCCAAACAAATCAGCATATAATAATTTATGCATAACAATCAAAAATTAATTGCATTTCGACAGGAAGGAGATGAAATGACCTCATGAAAGAAATTCAAAATAATGAATTGAATTCTATTTTGAAAATGATTTGACATCTGCACATAAAGTGTTGAATTTAAAGCCGGCAAAAGTATTTTTATAGCAAATATTCATTCGTAAACGCGTTGGTAGCTTTCCGGGAGCGAGCGTCATTTCGCGTCACAAATTATATCATCATCGGTCCAGAGTCTAGACTGTTTTCATTCCTGTCACTGAACATATATATTTGCTATGAATTGATTATTTTTGAAATATGACTGGCCACCCACTGAACAAACGCATTTGGATATACAGAGATACATCTAGAACTGGATTTATAGCCTCAGGTGTTTTTGTAAACAACTATATTGAACAGCAATCACAACTTAAGAATCCTATGAGCTGTTGTGATGATACTTCTTAACTGCATTGATTTTTTGCAAAAGGGATATAGTTTTAAAAGAATTTTTCTAGTAATGATGATCTATTTTAACTAATACAGCATTTTCATGAAGGGGCATTTTCAATCGGAAACATTTTTAGCTATAATTGATAAATAAAAATATGATTTCAAGTAAAAATAGCCTCACAGATATATATATATATATATATATATATATATATATATATATATATATATATGTCACACATCACTATTAGAAATATGCCTAATAATGAACTGGCCACAGAAAGCGGACAACCACTCAGTTTCTTCTAATAATTCTAGGTTATTAGAAATTACATCACAACAGCTCATAAAGTAATTCAAAGCTCATAACAATAATTCATAATAAAATAAAAAATATATATCATTCATAAAATAAAATATATGTCAATGGCGCATTACATCTTCAATTCACTTGCTGATGGTTAATTATAATAATTAATAGATTTAATGTTTTCATTTTAGATTGTGGTTTATTTTAGATGATTAAGTGTTATCTGCTCCAAGCATAAATATTTGATTTTTCATTTTAAAGGCATCATTCAGGTAGTATTGTGTATAGGTAGAATAAAATCCATTGTCAGTTGTCCTACATAAAGGCCATACTATTGCACAGAGACAGCAGATACTCTCGTGGAAAAATCGTCGATGGCATTGCACCTTTAATAGTTGATAGCTGACGATGCAAATAATAATAAAAATTGCAACAGTTGTTTCTTCATCGTTCGGAGAAATTCGTTATTTATACACACACACACACATATCTATATATATATATATATATATATATATATATATATATATATATATATGTGCAGTGGCGGCGCTAGACCATTCGTAGGCGTCGGCGAAATTCGTTTGCGAGGCCCCCTTTTATTTCCAATTAAAGTTGACTAGTGATGCATGGCATCGTGCCTTAAAAAAAATTGCTGAAACTTTCCGTTCCGTAATTTAAATTGTTTAAAAGTTTTAAAAAAAATTTAAAACTGAAAATAAAATTTATTTGAAATATTTTAATACTTTTTTTCAAAGCAATCACGAACGCATAGTAATGTAAACAAAATTTGTACTTATTAATAAAAATCTGTATAAAATAATCGATAATTTGATGTGCATATGTCTAATGATCATTTTTGTCCACTAAGGCTTGCTTTTACTTTTTTTTTATTAAATCTACAAAACCGCTAGATCTGCCTTTCTAAAAATTTAACCAGGTCTTCATTTTGTTAATACAAATAAAATGTTCTGTGAATCATTCAAATCGGACGCTCCATTTTCTTCAAGACTGAAATACCATTTTGGCACTTTTTGCTCCATATCTTCGAAACAGCTTGCCCTGCCTTTGCTAAAAACGTCTTCCCACCAATACAAATCAATTGTTTTCTGAACTTTTCAAATTGGTTGATCCGTTTTCACGAATTCGCCGACGAAAATTTGTATCCGCGCATATATACAAACATATACACATACATCCATTTTTATTACGGTATGCCAAATTGTTTAGAAACCTTCGTAACAAAAGTATGAAAATTATCATTCTCGATTTTTTGCGATTACTATAACTCACCCTACGAGAAGTTGAAAATTACACAAGTTCTTCAGATATTAGAAAAACACTGAAATTAAATAATTATTCCGAAAAAGTTTTTTTTTTACCAAATTATTCGATATTTCGATATTATTAGCTAATTTTATGAATTCTCGACCGTTCAAGTCATTCGGAATGAAAATGATTGGAAACCACCGACCTAGTCAGTAATTAATTAGACAAAATTTTGCAATCTACAAATGATTAATTAAAAAAATCTGCAATCATAATGACTTGAGTGCACGAATCCGCACGTAGAACATACACATTACCTGAAAGCTCGGCCCATTATTCCTCAATTTAATAAATTTTTATAATCAATCACTTCTCGTAGTTCCATAAAATTTATGTTAGTTTACACTACAATTGATATCTCTATACGAAATTTTTCTTTAAAAAAAGATTTTTACAAATCCCTTAACCCTTATGAAAGAAAAAACGGCGCGGCCGTTCTTCTCTACGAAATTCTAATCGGCACGATTTCCAACTGAAAACTTTCGAACAGTTTTTGAATTTTCAAAAATTGGTTTAGGAATGTCGAAATGTCGGATTTTTTAAGAATCTTCAATTCTTTGTCAACGATATCAGAGCGGACCAACCGATTTAAATGAATAAAAAAACATTGAATTTGTCGTTCGGCAAAGGCAGGTCCAGCGGTGTCGGAGATGCAAAAAAAGTGTAAAAGGTTATCAATGCAGGTTTTGAAGGAACTGATCATCCAAATAAAATGATTCAAAAAATATATTTTATATAGCTTGTGCTGACGGTGTGAAACAATGATTAGTTTCAAATAAACTAATCATCACAGTTATTTATACTATTTACTTCAAAATTTAAAACGATTGTTATATCTCATTGATCAATTTTTACTGATCATTGTTTATGTTTATTTATTGAATATTTAATTACTATTTGAATACATTATGATACCTACTCATAAGAATTCCCAAAAGGAATAATGATCTACATTATCTTCACATAAGGAACAACCAAATAAATATGAACAATCAGAGAATTAGCCTTCTCGCGCGAAGTTGTTTAGATTTAATAATCTATAGTGTTGACAAACGATATTAGATAGTATCCATTAGAAATAAGAGAGTAAAATTATAGTGCCCGTAAACCACTAATTATTTTCTTTACTTGCACATCAATATGAAAAAAAAACTAAATAAAAATGAAAAACTAATTTTCAGATAATGAAACATTTTCCAGGGCCTCTTGCGAGGCCCCCTGAAGCGCGAGGCCGTCGGCGGTCGCCGACACCGCCGACGCCTAGCGCCGCTACTGTATGTGTGTGTGTGTATATATATAAACCATTGTATATTTACCGTCGATGATTAAAACGTTTATTTCAAGTGCTCTATGACTCGACTGCGCTATTTTATGAAATAATTTTCATCGGAAATCGTAAATAGATTGCATGCTCATACATCATACATATATAATGTATATAAAGCGCCGATTCGTGCTAAAATTGTTATAACTGAAATACAAACTGCTGCATTTTGACTATTGGCAAGCACGTGTGCAACGATTTGTTTGTGTCCTCGAATGATTTCGATCTATCTAGGATATATATATATATATATATATATATATATATAAATATTACACAAAATAAACTACTCAATTAATTGATGAATATCACAATTGAAATTAATGACTGCCTGATGAGTTCATAATGGCTGCCTCGTAAGTCGACTTGCTTTCGCGAAAATTGGTTAATTTTCGTGATTTTTTAGCGATTGCTATAACTTACCCTACAGGAAGTTAAAAATATAAAAACAATACAAATCATTCCATTATGATGATAATGAAATGATTTGAACTTTAATTAATATCAATAACTGGAAATTATTGAAATGACTAACGAGGCGAATATTGGGTGCTGTAAAAATAAAAGCAATATCAATACAAAAGTGAATGATTATTATCATGATGAATATAGTATTAACAAATAAAATGATTAAAGTTGAAATAATAAAAATCTATGTGTAAGGAGCATTTTTTAAGACAAGTATAGGACAATTTTTTCACAATACGTATAAATAATCGATTTAACCAATAAGAAGTGAGAGATGCAGCAACTTTTAAAATTGCAAACACATAATTGAATTAGCCCTTTGATGACCATTTGTAATTAAGCCATTTTTAATATTAAGTTCAAATATTATACAATATTTCAACAAATAATCACTCCTCCTTCGGAAAGTAAAAAATTAGATTTACGGTTATTATGAATAATGACGGTACTGTAAGATGTAATAAAGTATATACCAATAATATAGCGATACGAATTTCGATAATCGTCCTTTAACAGTTTATCATTTTCTTTTTTCATTTATTTTTCAGTTGACTTCATCCCGTTTCCCGGTAGTGCTGAAGCTGGGCCATGCCCACGGCGGAATGGCCAAAATCCGCGTGGACAACCTGAGCGATTTCAGCGACGTCGCCGGCGTGGTCGCCCTGGCGAACACATACTGCACCGTCGAGCCCTACATCGATGCCAAATTCGATGTACACATTCAGAAAATCGGAAACAACTATAAGGCATTTATGTAAGTCAATAGTACGCTCTTCATTCATTAAACGTAGGTAATGACAAGGTACCCTATTCATAACATCAGTCAACATCCAACTAAATTTCAGGAAATTTTAGAATGAGAGGCTTTCCATTGCCATTTTGTTACATTTATTTTAGTTTTAATTATAATTTATCTAAAAATTGAGAGAATTCACTTTTTATTTTTGAAACATTAAAATGAAAAATGTTTTGAAGTTAACACCCTTGTTGCGTTAAAAAGTTTGAAACAAACACTATTAATTAAAAAACTTCAAAGGCAAAAAATTATATCTTTCAATATTCCAATAAATTATAATTAAAAAGTCTATTTTATAATTTTTTAAATAAAACAGTTCCCGAAGAAGGGGATACACTTCATATTCCAGCAACGTAGAACTAATTTATTAATGAAAATCTAAATGAATATTTTTTTAACAAAAAAAATTAGGCTTTCAGTACAGAAAAAATAATGACTAATATATACTAATATAACAATAATAAATTGAATATATTAATATATACATACATATATAAATGTATATAATTTTTTGGGGGTAAATAATTTTACTTAAAGTTATCTTTTGAATTACGACAAGAGTGGGTTTGAAAAAATATATCTCGCCAAATGAGAATGTAAAAAGTTGAAAATTAGCATAGCGTTTTTTTAGAGAAGCATTGATTTTGTTTGGCACGAATTTATATATTCAAAGATGAGATTAGTCATATTGACAACAAAATATATCAGAAAAATGATCCAGTTAATATTTCAAGACCATTTTGCTATAACTTCAAGGTTAAATAAATATATAAGTCAGTTTCAGAAATATAAATTATTTCAACTTATAAATACTCATAACTCTACGTACGTCTAAGATTTTCATTGCAGTTTTGACATCATGCCAATTTATAACTCACTTTGCCATAAATTATAGATTTCTCAAAAACAACAATTACAAAAAATAATTGAACACACTTCTGATTTTTCACTTACACAAAGATAATAAAATTGAAAGAAGACTATTTGCGAAATCAATATTTATATACGAGTAAATCGTTTCACAAAAAATAAATGACATTATAAAAAAGGACGTTCGTAGCATACACACATAAATTGTTTCAAAGGTATGTATAAAACATCAGATATTTTTAAGATGCAAAGAAACCTAATATTTTTTTTATTTCTTTTATAATTTATTCTCACACTTTTTATACAGTAGTTTTCATACAATCATTTAAATATTCGTTTTGGGAATGATAAAAAAGCTATGTAAAGCCCATTCTAACCAATTTTGTCACGTTTTGGGGTGAGTTTATTACATTTATAAAAGGACACCTCATTGATGAAATCACAAACCGAACAATCATAAAACGTGATATATATATATATATATATATATAATAGAAAATATTTAAAAAAAACTACACGGCACGAATTATTCACATAAATAAATAAATCACAATAATAAATGATTGTAAATCGTCGAACTGCAAAAGTTTAATATAATGATTTTTTTTAAATATTACAATATTTAGTTCATATATAAATAAGAAAAAGTTCAATTCATACATGACTAACTAATGAAGGCAAAATTGTTTTACAAATATGAAATAAATCTTGTCTCCTATGAACTTTAATTAGCGAATCCCGTTGAAAAAGTAGAGCTTGTCCTATTTATAGAAGATGCTGATCTTGTCATGTCATGTGCAAGAATGTTTTAATGGTTACACGAAGGTGCATGTAACTGCAATTTGGTAGTAAAAAGTAAACATTAAATAAATAAAGAGAAAGTAGAATGCACATTAAGCTATTAAACATTTTATGTTCTACATAACATAAAACTACATACATAGTTTAGTTTTCATGCTTTCTAAAACTTTACTTTTTTGGTATATAGGTAACAAAAGCAGAAATAAAAATTATGATATATAAGAGATGCAATCGATTTTGTTTTCCGAACTCACGATTGCGTTGAACAACCATAAACGTGGGGCGTTTTCTAGCGTGAAAGCTTATAAAACAAGATAAAGATAAACATATACTTGTTATAACATAATATGAACTTATATGCATGTTATAAAGTAAAAAATGACAAATATACGTTGTGAAAATATTTCTGCGCCATAAGACTATAGTTTCTATGGAATAGCTAAGGAATCGCCTCGGGCGAAAATCTAAAGCGAAAGAAAATTACACGATCAACATCAAGAATAATTGAAATAATTTTATCATAATATATTAAACCTAAATATGTAATACAACGAAGAATAGTGGATGAGTTCTCTTAAGTCTTTTTCGAATGTCAACATCCAAAATGTATTGGGCTAATTTAATTGGATTAGGCGTGAATCTTCCTTTCTGTTCAGTTGATAAAAATATTAATTTTCAAAATAAATTCAATATTAACTTGATTGATGCCGATGATTGATTAATAATGTTATTATTTTGACTTATTCTTAAAAGTAATGTTAATATATTTTTACAGGCGCAAATCAATTTCTGGAAACTGGAAAACCAACCAGGGCTCCGCCATGCTCGAGCAATTAGGCATGACGGAACGTTATAAACACTGGATAGATGAGGTAAGACTATATTTAAAAAAAAAAACAAAACATTTATATAATGGTGGCGTCAAAAGCCCCTTGGGCGCGAATCTAAGAGCTGACGGGACGGACGGGAGAAACAGTCGGTTCCGCTATTTCCGGGAGACGGGACAAAACGGACGGACGCTTCCGGGTGATGAAAGAGAAGGACGGTCTCTGGTTGACGCCACTGGCAAAACGTATCAGAATCATGATCACTTACGTTTTGGGACGACGGGACGAACGGTTCTGAGGGACAGTTAGGAACCCTTCGTTCCATCCGTTTCGAAAATTAATAATCTCGCTGCCCAAAAATACAAAACAAAAAATTATTTTAACTTTTTCGTGCAGTAACAAATAATTATTCAAAATTGTTTGTTATAACTAACATAGTCTAATCTGCTGTAAATTTTATTTCTAGTTTAGTCTACTATAGGTTTTTTTTAATATCGTTTATTGTTAAGACAAAAAGTAAATTTAAAAACAAAGACCACTTTCGCATACTTTCAATGATATTTCGCCTAAATGGTAAGTTAGGATATTGATAATTAGTATATCGCAAAGACCTATACAAGGCAGGGATGGTTATAATTGGAAAGTTACTATTTTTCTTTGAAAAAAGGCTAAATTCGGAATAGAAGAACATGTTTACATACACAAATTATATTATATTATATATTCCAGGTGTCCGATCTCTTCGGAGGTTTAGAAATCTGTGCCCTCGAGTTGGTCGCCGGTAAAGACGGTCGCGAGCACATAATAGAAGTGAACGACTGCGCGCTCAGTCTGATGGGAGACAGCCAGGAGGAGGACAGGCGGTTGATCGCTGAATTGGTTGCCACGCGGATGCAGGTAATGGCATAGGGAACGCACGAGATAAAGAACACGGGTTCAGAAGTTTAGATGTTCAGATAGACTTTGCTCATAGACCATTTTATTACTAATAAATCACTAATCATAGACCATTTATTGTTCATAACTACAAACGAACCCCCAGAAAATAATGCTGTAATAGTCCTCTTATTACAAATTTTACATCAAAATTATAGTAAACAAAAAAAGAAATATGTTCGAATAAGAAACTCATCGCTAATAAACCATTTAAATTAATGTTCTATTTTTGTTAAATATTACTATTACAGAAAATAAAAATAACAAAGAACTTCATATTTAACAGTTCTATAAACAAAGTGGCAATGAAGGTTAACGAACAATGCTCACGCTTAAACTGGAGATATTAAATTTTTCGCAAAAAATACTTCATGAATAGTATTAAGAAGATTAATAAATAGAACTTGTTAATACTATTTACAAATTTAGATTGGCTTTGAAAAATTTTTAAAAAATTACCGAATGTGTCACGTTTTACGATTTTTTTTTTCACAAAAACGACTGAAACTTAATGAACACTGTAAATTAAAATACTAATCTGAAACTTTCAGAACATTTGCCGACCGCCTTTACCCAAAACCGGTGCCGGCGTCCCGTTAGGCACGCGATCAAGCGTATCTAGCCGAGGCGGATCACCGACCGAAGACCACTTGCCGCCCGTGCCGGATCGCCCGGACCGCCAGTCGATTAGCTCGGAGCCCCCGAGCGAACCGCCGCCGCCGCACCCGTTGCTGGGGACACTAGGACGGCGAGATTCCCAAGGTAATAATAATAGAAACAGTATGACGAACATATTAAGGGGATACGTTCATAAAAAAATGATATTTTGAACATTAGAAATATTAAAAAATTGTCACAAATAAATTATTTAGAGTATCTCATTTCCCAGATATCTTACATATGTTTATATATGTGTCGTTAGTTGATAATATATTATATAATATAGTATATACACACTTTCTTTTGATAAAGAAAAAGCTTCGAATATGAATCAAATTATAGAGTAAACGGCAAAACCTATTCTGACTGCTGTGAAAATAAATAGAATATCAGTACAGCATTTTTTGATCAATTAAATATTTTTACCTCACACTTGAAACCAGAAATTGAAGTAATTAAAGTAATTAAATCTGTGTGTTTTATTGCAAATATTTTCCTTTTCGAAATTACTGCCTAATAGTAAAAATTCATATATCATCGCTGAGACGACCAAAACACAATAATTTGGATGTTGCTTTTTGCAATTTGAAAATAAAATGTCAGCTACTGATGACTAATGAGACAAAATTCATTCTAAATCTTTATTTCTTTGACAATTATATACGAGGTCAACCGAGTGGTAAAAATCCAATCTTAATATTCTTAATATATGGGCAATAAAGTAAGAAGCAAATATTTGTATACGGACTATCTAGAACATTTCTAAATGAGCAGTTGTAAATATTAATAATATTTCGCCTGATCATACAATAATCGCTTTACTTCATAATTTACAATTAGATAATTTATAAAAATTTCAAATACCGAATTCAACAATATTTTAAATCAAAAATTGAAAAAATTATATTTTATCAAATAATGCAAGTTTAGTTAGTCTCTTTAGTCATTAAACGCACTGTCCGAAAATAATAAATGAACAAGTATTGTTTATATCTTGAATGATGAATTATGAGTACAATTTTACAAGACAATCTAAACCCTTTGGGTATGGGCGCATTGCCATACAGAATCGGCCCCACCCTGGTATTTAAATAATTTATACGCCATTTTATAGGTTTAAATGATAAAAACAAATATACCAATTTTCAACTTTGTACCTCATCTTATGGCCGAGATACCAGCAATTCGCCATTGTGCACAGTTCAATATGCCAAAAGTTGAATTAAGAGAAATTGATAAATATCAATAACGCGTTCCAGTGAACTCGAAACATGATATCAAGGACGCACTTATATTTTATTTCAAAGTGTTTTTGCACAAATATTTATTGAAGTTTCACGTAATCGTAATCGGAATTCCATATGATACATATTCGCGGAATTTTAAAAATAAATACTTCTGATATATATATATATATATATATATATGTGTGTGTGTGTGTGTGTTTATATATATATATACTGTTCGCAATAAAATCTCGCAAATGCACAATATAAGAGAATTATTTTCCATATAATTAGAACTACGTCGATATTTTGATATGGCATAGTGAATATTAAACTTTGATCTATAATGTTGTAAAAATAATTTTTAATCAAGCTTTTTTAACTCTATATTTTAGCATCAGAATATATATGATTTAGAATTTGGATCATCGGACTCCTATGAACAAAATTGAAAATATAATAAACATTTTAAATCAAATACCGACCACTATATTGTGGATACAGGAATTTCAACAATTCAATATTGTGCTTGTATCGAAGGCTTTGAAATAAACTATCAAAAATTTAATGTAGTAAACTAGGAAAAATTCAATGGAATTCCTTGAAGATATTTCTCTATATAATACTGGTAGTTTTCATATTGAAACTACTTTTCGCGGGTTTACAATATTTTAGGCCTTTATTTAAACCTTGAATTAAACATCATACAAAATTTCATTAAAGTCCTCAAAGAAATCAATAATCAATTACGAAGAAACGCCGATCATTACCAAAACGTAATCCCAAAAGGGTTCCAAATGGTATCTTTCGAAAATGTTTGCATTTTCAAAATTCATTCAGCATTTTTGGCAAAAACATGTGCAAAAAATTCTGCACATATTCACTACTCATAAAGAAACAACTCGGCCGATCATCTCGCAAAACTAATCAACGTGGGTATCGAGTTTCATCGAAGTCCTTTTAAACATTTGAAATCGGTGCAGCCGGTTTTGAGAACATCAACCAAAAGTCAAATTGTGGTTCACACACTAACTATCCAAATATGTGGATTTTATCCAATTTTGAAGTTATAGAACGACGATTTGGAATGACTAACGTCGATAAAGCATACAATTAGCAAATTGAATTTTCTGGCGATGACCAAAAGATTGCCAAAATTAGCAAGTATCAAAATAAAATTGAATTGAGAAGTAACGTTTCCTAATATTTTCCACTGACCTTGTGCATTGCGTTGTTTCAGCTTCGCAGTCGTCAACCGTGAGCTCGGCCTCGGGTGCGATTGGCAGCGGCGTCGGCGGCGGCGGCGGCCCCGGTCACGGCATCGGCATCGGCCCGCGCGCCCCGTCGCTCGGCCAGCGTCAGCCCTCGCAGCAAGCCTCCGCTCCTGAGGATTCAGAGGACACAATGAAAAACTTGCGGAAAACGTTCGCCGGCATTTTCGGCGACATGTAAACATCAAGCTGACGCGGTGACCTGGGGGATCATTTATAGCGCATAAAATCGCATTTAAAACGTTGTTTGTATTAGAACTTTCATTTGTTTTCATGTGGTTTCAAATTAGTTTATGGTTCATGATGTTAGGACCATGAGCACGCAACTATTTATTTTGGGATGTTTTTAAATTTCTGAATGGAGCAAAGTATGCGTTCATAGCATTTTGACTGAGAATTTAAAATACGTAGTTTATTATGTATATAAAATGTAACAACTGTGATTATAGAAATAGTTTTATTCAATCGTGCACGGAATGATGTCGCAGTCTTATTCTAATAAAACAATTTATTGAAAATAATCTGTACATTTGAATATAATTTGTAGTTTATAATAGCACAATTGCATGCATTTTAATAATACTGAAATTTACTTAAATTAATCACATTATACAATAACGCATAAATAGATAATTCTATCTTCAGTTTTTATGTTACCTTATCGATAGTAAAAATTACACATTGGTTTATGTTTAACGACAAACCATAAACAAACAACAACTTCTTGTAAATATACATGCAATCATCAATTCAATTGTTTTTGTTTATTATGTTCTAATACAATCAATGATCAAATGAAATGCACCTTCTGACATTGGCTTTACATGTGTGAAAAACATATTTTACTTAATGTTATAAATATTTAATGTGTTAACTTCTTTACTATGATAAAATTTGTATATGTAGAATTTTCAAATACGTATATGCATACACAACAAATTGTTGTCAACAATGTTAGAGTAGTATCTAAGTCGATATATACAAATATATATACAATTATACATATATATATATATATATATATATATACATATAAAAGAGTATGTGGTTATTAAAATAATCTTGTTTCATTGTTGCAGCAACTCGTGTAACTAAAACTAGTATCAAATATGCACTGTTAAGGGTAGAGCAGAATAACCAATGTATAAACCTCTAAGCATTTTCAAAAATAATAATCTTTTATAAGGTTCCTACTCTATAAAGTATAGAAAAATTAAAACAAGTTAAAATTCGCCAATATTATCTGAAACTATGGTTAAAACATTTTAGATAAACAAAAAAAAATTACATAATTGTATTAGTAAATTCATATGAATATCACAATTAGTTTGAAAATGAAGTTTAAATTCACGTTTATGTTTTTTTGTATCATACGAATAACTCACTTTTAGACAATTCGCGAAATAAAAACTGTTGGTTTCATAATAATAATGAATATATACCAATACTAAAAAATTCAAATTAGAATAATCGACATGTGTAAACGCAAATATAATAGAAAATTTTACTCAAGATTTGTGTGCTTGCAAAATGATTACATACTTCAAACTCGTTTTCACTGAAGAAATAATTGTGAATAAACTGCATCAAAAACTTCTTTATAATAATAGAAATTGATTAACTATTCTAATGTTGCGAAATTCGGTCCTGGCAACATTGAATCATTTAACAAATGTTGGCAAATGATAGTCGGATATCGAAAAATACTATTGCAAGAGTTGAAAATACCATTGAATAATTAAAACCACACTAGTATTTAATCTTGTTATTTGTAGGTTTATCTTATTCCACGCATGTTATAAAAATTGTTGAATTTAAAAACGACTCATGTATAATAATTCGCTTAAACATTCGAATATATAGATCAATACTACCTGGTTGATATAAGAAATACTGAAACTTAATTTAAGCCGTTGAAATGAGACATAAAAACCAGAATCGTGATGTATTCTTATACTTTATACTTTATATATATATTATATATATATATATATATATATATATATATAATATATATATATGCCTATTGTAATATAATCACATTTTCCAAAGTCATTATTGAAGTCCAGGCAATATAGATCTATATTCGAAAAACGAAACAAAACTGAATACAATTATATGGCGGTGGCCC